AGCATCCGAAGGCTAACTACGAGCATCAGAAGGCTAACTAGAAGCATCAGAAGGCTAACTAGAAGCATCAGAAGGCTCACTATGAGCATCCGAAGGCTCACTACGAGCATCCGAAGGCTAACTACGAGCATCCGAAGGCTAACTACGAGCATCCGAAGGCTCACTATGAGCATCAGAAGGCTCACTATGAGCATCAGAAGGCTAACTACGAGCATCAGAAGGCTAACTACGAGCATCCGAAGGCTAACTACGAGCATCAAAGGGCTAACTAGAAGCAAGAAGTAGCAAAAAACTAGCTAAAAGTAGCAAACGGCTAGCTAGAATTTATGTTGGGTTGCAAAATATAAACGATAAATAAACAATCAGCAGGAAACGAGTAGTTTGACTCGGGAGTTGTTTCTCTTGTTTTTCGCTGCATGTTTTTAACTAAACAAAGCCGTTTGACCTTAAAATAAAATCCGTTTGTAAACGGATACTACGCGACCGAGACGTGACATAATCCTGAACAGATTTTTATTTGTCCGTTTATCAGACTGTTGGTTTCAGACTAATATTTGGTCTGAACAGTTGAGAACTTTCATGTGGTCTGATTTTAGATTCTGGCAGCTCTCAAACAAACTGTTTTGTTTTTAACTGTTTGTATGAGGCTTTTCAGTAAACTTGTTTTTAAGGGATTATGAAGGTGGAATCTTAATCTCAGGACGTGCAGATTATTTCAGGAACCATAAATTCTGACTGTGCAAACCATATTTATTTCCGTGCCGCTGCTCCTCCTGATCTCCAGGAGACTATCGGTTACTACCAAACAGTTCCCAAACGTAATCTGAGTGTTTTTATTAGGATGTGGGAGACTGAAGTATCTGCAGTGAAGGAGTGACTAATTCGGTTAAATCTCACTCGTTTCCTCACTTCCAGCTGTTTACGAGCAGCAGAACCTGCTCATTTCAGACGGGATTGTCTGCTGTCGGGCCCGTAAATCGGCTGCCGGAGGCCCAGGGACTAACAGCAGCTTCGGCTTTTGGCTCGTTAACAAGGCCGAAGGTTCAACTTTACGCTCGGATTTTACTGCCGTGTTTGATTAAACGTGCTGCTCTGTGTTCGTTCAGAACCCGTCCTCCTCTGCAGAACTTTCTGAATGAAGTCCAACAGCAGCGGGATCGAGCTGAGACTGCAGACACGCTCGAACCTGTTTCCACTCCAATTATTAGAAAAACACTTAGATTCAAAAACGTAAAAACGCCTAAAAGAGGCAGGAGCTTTATGTTTTTATAAAATATGATCGTGCTCTTGATTTTTATCTAAAAACAAATCGGTGAAATAAATAAAACATTAGTTTTTTTTGGTGATAATTCTTCTATTGTGTTTGTGACAGTTGGAGTTCGTCTGGTTCATTCAGACTGAAGACGTCATTGGAAATGAATGGTGTGTGTGTGTGCGCGTGCATGTGTGTGTGTGTGTGTGTGTGTGTTAAAGTCATGTGCCCACATGTAGATGATGTCATTGACCTGTTGAGGTGAAATTACAGGTAAAGATGTAGGACTGAGCTCTTTGTGTGTTTGTGAGAACGTTTTAGACGATGTGAGATTGTTGGTCCTCCACTGTCAAAAATCTGTTTGATGGTTTTTCTGGTTAAAGACAAAAAAAAACCATTCAGGAACAAACTACCAAAGATAACACAGTTTGACAGAAATTAGGGTTTTAGCTCAAACAAACTGATTTCCAAAGAGCTGTTGGCTGAAAACTGTACATTTTGTAAATTTCTTAGAACTTTAGCAAAAAATCTGGAAAAAAATACAAAAACAACCTGAAACACAGTTTTGGACAGTGTGGACCTATAAGGGACCGGGTTTCTGTTTGGACCTTTAGAGCAGTAGTTCTGAAACTGAGGTCCGTGGACCCCCGGGGGTCCGCGAGCCAGTGCTTCGGGGTCTGCCAAAAAAATTAAAAAAATTACAAACAGTTGTTTAACAACCCTTTAAAAAAGACCAAAATTCAGGAAATCACATCTACTTTATTCAAAATGTCCTGGGGGAGCACCCCCAGACAAACCACGGAAGATCGCTGGTTCAACTCCTGGTACAGACAACATCAAAAATGTGGGTGGGATTGGTGAAGCACCCACATCCGTCTCCATTCTCATTTGCCCCACACTGGACCCTTGAGCAAGGCCCTTAACCCCACCATCTGGGGTCCTTCATGATGCAGGTGGACCTCGTCCTGCATCTGGAGGTGTAGATGTCTGTGATGGTGGGGAGGCTGACTCCATCATCTTCTGTGCAGCCTTCACCACTCTCTGCAGAGCTTTTCTTTCTGCAGCTGTGCAGCCTCCATGCCACACGTTGATGCTGGAGCACAGGATGCTCTCCACTGCGCACCTGTAGAAGGAGGTGAGGACTGAGCTTCACAGACCAGCTCGCCTCAGCCGCCTGAGGACGTAGAGTCTCTGATGAGCTTTCTTGATCAGGCTGGTGGTGGTGTCTCCCCAGCTGTGCAGGTGTAGCTGCTTTTCCTTTGTATTGAAACTGGTTTCTGTCTCCGCAGGTACGTCATGTGAGCTGGACTTGTGTCTGGAGAAGCAGCTGGAGCGCTTTGAGTGGCAGCTAAAGATTTTAAAGGAAGTTGTCTCAGCCAATGGGGATTCAGAGAGGGCGGAGCTACTAACTCGTCACGCTGATGAAGACGTGTGCGGCCTCGTCGTGAGCATCCTCGATAAGGTGAGAACCTGATGAACAGTTGGTCTGGTTTCAGACTGGTGCCTTGTCTTTTAAAACTAAACTAATTTAGATTTGATGTTTTAAATCGTTCTGATCCAACGGGTTTGGTTGAAGTTTGGACTTTTTCTTCCCCTGAAGCTAAAGTTTAACGAGTGTTATAATCTCATCAGAACAAATTGTTTCTATCTGCTCCTCCTGTTCCTCTGGAACTGCTTCCAGCTGTTTCTCTTGTCCTCTCGGTCTCCACACAGTCGGACCTCCTGACTCTGCTGTAAGACCAGAATGCTGCGTTCTCTGATCATGTGACCTCCCGAGTTTGTTTGCTCGGCTCCTGATTTATGATTTCAGCCACGTTTAGCTCGTGTCCTCATTGTGACCTGCTCCAAACCTGCTGCTCAGGTTTTAGCCGGCAGAAATCTCAATCCTCCTCATTTTTAAGGTTTTCTTCCAGGAGACAAACTTTCCCCACAGTCTTTAAAGTGATCAGACATGGTTCGTCTGCTGTGAACAGTTTCCTTGAGGTTTTAAGACGCCCAAAACTGAGTTAGACCAGCAAAGGCTGTTTTTTCCTCAGACTGAAGCTGTTTGGTGTCAGTCAGAACATCATGTTTTTATTTTACCAGGCAGTGATGGAGAGTGTTATCAGGTATGGGATGACGGCATGGTTCGGCAATCTCTCCAGTCAGCCTAAATCTAAGTTGCAGCGCCTGGTACAGGCTGCTATGAAGGTGTTGGGGAGGACCGAAAAGCTCTCCCTGCAGTCCATCTGTGAGCAGTTTGTACTTAGGCAGGTACAGACGGTATTGTTGGGTCCGTCCCACGTCCTGTATGTGGAGCATGAGCTCTTGCCTTCTGGTAAAACATACAGAATCCCCAAAACTAAACTGAACTGTTTTAAATATTCTTTTGTGCCCACCTCCATCAAACTTTTGAATCAAATTTTTAAATGGATAATATGTTGAGGCCTGGAAGGTGTGCAAGAACTTTGGTGTTCTTCGGTTTTTAGCTGTTTATATGAATTGTATACATTTTACTGTCTGTTTGGGCAGCTGCTACTATGCAATATACACCCCTGAGTCCATGACAAATTTCCCCTAGGGGACAGTAAAGTCTATTCTATTCTGTTCTATTCTATTCCGTTCTATTCTATTCTATTCTATTCTATTCTATTCTGTCCTATTCTATTCTATTCTGTTCTATTCTATTGTTATGTTCTGTTCCATTCTGTTCTGTTCTATTCCATTCTATTCCATTCCATTCTATTCCGTTCTATTCTATTCTGTTCTATTCCATTCCATTTTATTCGGTTCTGTTCTATTCTGTTCCATTCCATTCCATTCCATTCTATTCTATTCCGTTCTATTCTGTTCTATTCCATTCCATTCTATTCCATTCCATTCCATTCCATTCCAAGTAAGTAAGTAGTTGAGTGAAAAAGCAGCCCAAGTCTAAAGTCAGGGTTCTTTCTTCATCTAGAAATGTTTGGAAATCGTTTTAAGGTTTTTCTAGGTTTTAAAATGTAAAAAGAAAAAATGGAGTCTGGCAAATATTTTTCTAAACATGATAAATATTTCTAAAAAAACAATAAGCTCAATTGTCAAAATGCTTTTCAGATTTATTTCATATATAATATAAACATAAAGCACTAAAAGTTTTAAAACAGTCCTAATTTTGTCTTACTTTGATTTTACAATAATTTCCATAGAGGGGCGGAGCTTAAAGGGAGCCAGCCACCACGAGGTGCCCATCCTCAGTGGCTTCAACTTCCAGCTCCTGGTCCAGTCTCTACCTCACAAAACTCAAATCTGAACTGTAAAAATACCATTTACAACATGTTTCAGACTCATGAGGCAAGTTATCTTGACTCTAAAAGCATATCATGCTTTATTTTACTCATAATGACCTTGTGTACATAATGTCGCTCCACCACATGTACCACATGAGGTGCGAATGACAATAAAGAGACTCTGACTCTGATAAAATTATGGTTTCATAAATTTTGTCTTCTGACAGTTACCCTAAATATTTCCTTCAACCTTATTTCCATCATATTTGTTTTTCTGCAGTTCTTTTCTGATTAAACTTTTATTTTTCTGACCCGCAGGTGAAAACGGAGACGACAGCGGACCTGAACGTTCTGCAGGAACGCAGGAATAAATCTGCTGCTGAAGAACATGAACGACACGTAGAAGGTACGACCAGAACCACACTGAGGGTTTAAAGGGTCCTGTGGACCTTCTGAGGACTGAGGCCTTCAAGACAAACGAAACCAGCGCATGAAGTTTTTAATTGTTTTGTGGTCTGTTTAAATTTTTCTGAGTGTTTATGCATCTTTCCTTCCTGCTGACATTTTTATTCCCACTGTTCTGTCAGTTCTTTTGGTTTTTGGTCTTTTCTTTTTTTCTGCTCGTTTTTGTTCTTTTATGTGTAAAGTAGAAACCCGCAGAACAAACTGATTTACGTTCAACAGATGTCTGTAAAAGCAGCACTTTTATCCACTTCGTCTCCTCCATTTATGGTGCAAAGCTCATTTCTATGCCGGGAACTTTATTTGTTTGTTTTACAAACTTGAAGTGAAGAGTTGTCTTAAGCTAAACTTTTTATTTATTTATTTTTTTTTACTAAAAATACACCAAGAAAAGACCAAATGTAATTGATTATTATATTCTAACTTGAACTCTTTTGTTGATTAAAATTATCGTTTGATTATTTAAAGTGATTATGAAATGAAACTGCATTTTAACACTCTTGAGATTTAGCATAATTTATTATTTTCAACCCAAAACTGAATCATACTTCATAAAATAATCAGTTATTCATTTTTATGAGATTTAAAGTTTGATAAGTTCATCTTTTAATTTAAATAGTTTTATTTAATCCAGTTGATTAGTACATGAAAACAAATATTAGGTCAAAGCTAGTACCGTATTTAAACTCTCCTTATTAATGTTTTTAGTTTATGACCATAAAGGGACACTCCTGATGCGGCAGCCGAATTATGTCAGATTCAACCAACGTTTAAACTCCAGCTGATTCTGAGGCAGGTAAAGACATAATGAACCAAAACAAACCAATCGGTGGTGGGTTCGGGTTCTAAAAGAAATAACTGAATCATCATCCTCCAAACAGACTTTAGCATTAAGATGCTAACAGATAAAATGGACAAAAGACAGCTAGCGCACTCAGGCTAGTGAGCAAATCAATCAGACATCCAGGCTGAAGTTTAGCTGCTAATTGACATTGGACATGGACATGCTCATTGTTAGCGTGGACACGCTCATTGTTAGCGTGGACACGCTCATTGTTAGCGTGGACATGCTAATTGTTAGCGTGGACATGCTCATTGTTAGCGTGGACTTGCTCATTGTTAGCGTGGACATGTTCATTGTTAGCGTGGACTTGCTCATTGTTAGCGTGGACTTGCTCATTGTTAGCGTGGACATGTTCATTGTTTTGCGTGGACATGTTCATTGTTAGCGTGGACATGTTCATTTTTAGCATGGACTTTCTCATTGTTAGCGTGGGCATGCTCATTGTTAGCGTTGGCTTGCTCATTGTTAGCGTTGGCTTGCTCATTGTTAGCGTGGACTTGCTCATTGTTAGCGTGGACTTGCTCATTGTTAGCGTGGACTTGCTCATTGTTAGCGTGGACATGTTCATTGTTTTGCGTGGACATGTTCATTGTTGGCGTGGACATGTTCATTTTTAGCGTGGACTTTCTCATTGTTAGCGTGGGCATGCTAATGAAAAGCAAATAGATTGATGGGTCAAAGATTTTGCTTGTCTACATTTATAGCTTTGAATTATGGCTTTTTATTGTATTTTATTTTATTTTGATTTATTTCCTTGTTATTTAGTGTTTTGTCAGAGACTTGTTAGATAATCTTGTCCATCCTTTATCTTTACCTGCTTTTTTCGCTGATGCCCATATTCAGCAGTCACTGTGCGAAAGGCGAGGGACACCCTGGTCTAATCACACGCCCATCACCCAGTTATCCTTAAGTTTCATCAACAAGATAAATGTAATTAGGAGAAATACGGTGGTTAGTAGAGAAAAAAAAACACTGAATTCCTATGAAAAGATTAGAAACTGTTTGATAACCTGTTTGACCTTTTTGATTTTTAACAAAAGCTCTGAATGTGGAGGAGCAGCAGCTCTACTCCAAGTCTCTCCTGTATTGATGGACTTGTCAGGTTGCTTTAGCTGAACTCCCTCCACAGTGGGACGTTTCAGTGTCACCAGGACGGTTCTGATCCTGGACGCTGCTGGAAATCATCAATGTTTCTTTGTTTCCTGCAGAGCTGCAGGCGAGACACGACCAGGAGAAAACCGAGCTGGCAGAAAAGTTTTATGCGTCTGAAAACATCCTGAAGGTAAGACATGTTTAAAGTATTAACAGAGTCCTTCTTTTGGCTTCAAGTTTTAATTAAACTTATAAAACCTGGAGGACAGAGCACGAACCGCTTTCTGTTTAACGATCGAATGTTTTGTGTTTTTGCTGCCATGGAAGAACAAAGTGGAGGCGCTGACGGCAGAGCTGCAGCTTTTCAACGAGCTGAAGAGACGAGTCGCAGAATCAGACTTTAAGAAGAATTTACAAAGAAATATTCAGGTTGGTTATTAAACATTAACTGTTTTTAACATTTAAAGCACAGCCATGGTAATATGAAACATAAATCTTTTTGCTTTTTATCAAATTAAACCTTATCTGGACCTCAGCAGGTCTTCAGGCTTGATTTAAAGGTCCGTTGATGGTCTGACGTTGAGTTTGTAGATTTTTATATTATTGCAGCTAAAATCAGGATTCTGTAAAACGTCGTCGTCGCTCCGAGCTCAACAGACCGTTTCAGATTAATACACGATTTGATGTTCTGCTCAGGAGCACGGCAGCCCAGGTGAATTCTGGGAGTCTGAGCAGGAGTCCCTGCTGTTTGTGATCGAGATGAAGACTGAGCGCGTGCGGGAGCAGAGCAGGAAGCTGCAGCAGATGGAGGAGCTGGTACGTGCACGTCTACAAAACGTCCCGGAGCTTTTAAACAAATCCTCGACTAGTTGGAATTATAGATCTTATTTTATAGTCTTTAGTCTCATCAGGTTGTTTAGTTTTGCTTTAAAAGAAAAAACATTGTCGAATGCATCACATTTGACAGGAGTCGAATGTGCTGCTACTTTTAGCTTTTAGCTCGTGTTTTGCTACTTTTAGCTTTACCAAGTCGGTTTCAGCAGTCGTTCAGCGTTCTAGTTAGTTGTAGCTTCGACTAAATAAACCAACGTGTTTTTGTTGAGAGAGTCTACCGTTAAAAAGGATGCATTTGTTTCAGAAACGGGTTTAGTTTCCGTCTTTTACTTTTGACTCGTGTGTTCTGATGCTCAGGTGCAGAAGAATCTGTCTCTGGAGGACCAGACTGTCCACGTCCTGCAGCAGAACGAGGACCTGAAAGTTCGGCTCAACAACTGCCAGACTCTCATTCAGTACGTGTTTCTGTCGTTCTCTGTGAAACGAACAGTTGCGTGTGAACGTAGCACCTCCCGCTGGAGGAAACGGCTTCCTGCACAGTTCCAAGCGGACGCCAGTAAAAGGCGAAATGGAACGAGCAGCAACTTAAGCTGACGAAACGCTGCTGATTTTCAGTGGTGGAGAAAGTACTCAAACACTGTACTTAAGTAAACGTACAAATAAACACACAACAGTGTACTCTAGTAAAAGTAGAAGTACGACATTAACGTTTTTACTTAAGTAAAAGTAAATAAGTACTTGTTTGTAAAAACACTTAAAGTACTAAAAGTACTTGCTGAATGTATTGCGATGGTCTACACATCATTAAGTGTGCCTACCGTATGTATATTTTCTGTAATACATTAATAGTGTTGAGCCATTTGAATGAACAATGCTGCAGATAATGATTTTATTGTGTTTACTCTGACACCGTTCACACTTGGACTTTTGATTCTGTGCGTCAGAATTTCAGGGATAAATGTCATTAAGCAAAATTCATTAATTCAACCTTTATTTATACAGGTTAATCTCACTGAGTCACGGGGACTCATTTACAAGAGAGACCTGATTTTTTAACGAAGAGTGATGACAGCAGTGGATAACGACGACAACAATAGACAAAATGTGTACCAGTTCAATGAGGACATATGATGTCAAAACAACAACAAAAAATGGAGATGTTGTATTTAAAATACAACGTTGTATTGTAAATCATATTTACAATACAACGTTGTACCAGCTCTTCTTGAAGGCAGGTCTAATGTTACCTGTCCACTTTTCAGAATGGACCAACTCCTCTCTCACCATCGGTTACTTTCAAACTAACGAACAAATCAAAAAAACACGACGTGAAAGTAACTTGTAACGCAACGTATTATAGAAATGTAGTGTAGTAGAAAGTACAGATACTTGATGTAAAATGTAGTGGAGTTAAAATAGAAAGTACCCACATTTAACTCTACTTAATTGAAGTACAGGTACATGAAAAATGTACTTAAGTACAGTAACAAAGTACTTGTACTTAGTTACATCCCACCACTGCTGATTTTAAAGCGTAGAAGAAGAGTTCCTGCAGGAAGCTGTGCATCCCCAGAAGAACCTCCCCGAGTGTTCAAATGAAAACTGTTTTATCTCTATGAGCCGTTAGTGATTACATTTATTTTTCTCCTCTTTTTGTTTTTTCAGGCAGTTTTCAAAAGAGAAGCTGGACCTAAAGGCCACGCTGGAGAGACAGGTAGCAGCTAACCAGAAGCTTTCTCAGGAAAAAGAGCAGCTGGTGTTCAAACTGAGACACAAAGACTCATGTCCAACCATCCACCTGCCGGCCATGATCCAGGAGATCGCTCCTAGATGACCCTGACGTCACAGTCCGGGTCGGAGGCTAGAACTGGGCCAGCATGGATCAGGTCTGCAGCTGCATGGAAGCAGACGATGAAAACGGTTTTCTGTTCAGCTGCAGCGATGAGTCGCAGTTTGATTCTCGTCATCGGGTTACTGACTGTTTCTGAAACGGAGAGAAGAACAAAGATTTATTTTTTTATTGCCACGATGGACAGCAGACAGATGTTTACGCTGCACTAAACTGTTTTTTCTTCTGCAGGGCTTTATTTTCAGGAGACGACCACTTCTCAGAGCCGGTTTTTGTCTCATAATGAAGTTTAAAATGTTTTTTTTTTTTTATTAATGAGCTGCTGATCACCAAGTGCAGTTTGACGACTTCAGTCTGATTCATGTTTAGTTTTCAGTCCAGATGTTTCCTTCATGATAAGAAGAAACAAACTGCGCGTTATTAATCTTGATTTCCGTGACTAATTTATCACATGTATTGTTTAATAAGTGCAGCTTTAAGTTCTGAAAACTGTATTTACTCGTTATTTTTCCCTCCCAAACCCACGGAGTGAATCTAAAAGGCAGTTGATAATGTGAAAATGGCTGATTGTGACGTTTCATGTTGATTGCTGGGACTCTGAACGCCTTTAATGGTGAAATAAATTCAGTTTTGACCTGCTTCGTTCATAAACGTCCCATCAACTGCAGTAAAACTTGTCTGACCTGCCAACATTTGCAGATGGCAGTAGGAGACACCTGCACATATTGGTGAGCACCAATGATGTGAAGCAGTCCTGTGGGGGTTCAGAGGCATGCCCTCTGATTTTTTTTTTATTTAAATTGACTCAAAACTGCATTTTTTTAGCCATTTGAAGTGCATTATACTAAATTTTTATTATTAAACATAAAATCTGAACCATACTTTCCAGCGTATAAGTCGCATCAGTCAACAAAAGCATCATGAAAATGAAAAAAAAAAAAAAACATAAGTCGCATTTATAACGCATTTATTTTTAATTGTAAAAACGGCTTCATTTCGCCTGGGCGGCTCCATCCATCCATCGTGACCGGAGCCGACCGCTCTCCCAACGATCCTCCGCCTGCACCAGCTGAGTGAAGTGCGCACGCACGGGAAGACTCGCTGTTGCAGTTCTTAGAAATTTAAAGAGTCAGTCAAAAAATGTGTTATTAATATGAAAAAAAAAACGTATATAAGTCGCTTTGGCGTATAAGTTGCAGGACTGACAAATCTATGCAAAAAAAACAACTTATACACCGGAAAACACGGTGTAATTTAATTGAAAGGTGTTTTTTTTTTTTTTTTACACTGAGCACCTTGGATTTGTTTTGACTGCATCGTGCTGTTTTTATTACAAAACATTATTTGCACCATGTAACCTCATGTAGTAACAAAGCAGGCTGCCCTGAGAAACCTACCAGGCGGGTAAAAAAAGAACGAGTAAATGTTGGTGCATGCGGACTGAACGCTGATGAGTCTGAGCAGCATCACCGACACGATGATGTCAGCGTCAGTAGCAGCTGTCAATCAACTGTAGAGGGAGATCGAGGCACGATTAAAACGGTTTTGATTTGTTGCTGAACGCCGTCTGCTCGTCAACAAGCGGCGTTTGTACATTTTAACATCAGCTGATCTGCAGCCTGAGCCGAGATGAAAACCAGTCACGGAGGAAACTCCACCTTACGTTCCTCAGGGAAGTTTAAGATTAAATCTGTTCGGCGTTCATCTACTTTTAATTTTTTTGTTTTCTCTACTTAGCCGATATTTTTAATGTTCAATCTAAATGTTATGCCTCCTTTTATGTATCATAACTGTGAGCCCAGTTATTGGTTCTGTTGGTTCATATAGTGTAAAGCGCATGAGCCACCACACAAAAATATCTCAAATGTAGCTCTCAGATTAAATTAGAATAAAATGAGATTAAATTAAAATCTTACATCTGGTTGTTACATCTGTAACGATCGCCGACTGTTTTTGTCTTTTTCACTGTAAACAAGTTCACTGCATTAAACAGTTCCTTTGTATAATTAAGTAAATATAAGGACACGTGCTGGTAAAGCCACGATTTATACGCAAACTAACTTCAACAAAATTAGTAAAAAGTGGGTCTATAGATCAGGTTATATTTTGTATTTCTGTGTGCTTGATGATGCATGAAATTATATGATTTAATTCTGTAAGTAATCTCAGCAGACATCTTGTACTTGTAGTTAATCCCATTAAGTCTGTCTCACTCTGTATGATGAATCATGGCATACTGGCTACATACAGAGGTGCTGTGGGTGTGTACAAGTATACACCCTGACTTCACAACTTTATTAGGAAGTAGTTGTACTTTATTTAGTGATGCAATTAGTTACACAAGTTTCTCTTGTTTTTTTTTTCTTTGTAAGGGCATTTATGTTGATTCAACAAGTAAATTGTACTTTAAAGATTTCATATCATTTTATCTGGTAAAGTTGATTTGGTTTATAGAGTAGTCACTGGTTACTCGGGCTTATGAAGGAAACTTTTCTCAGGATAGTCTGTTTTGTTACATGAGGTTATATGGAGCAGAGGGCATTTAGTGGTAAAAGTACAGTATGATACAGTCAAGGAAACTCATGGTGGTCCTTAGCGTTTGCTTACAGGCCGGCTCTGAGACGTAAAATAAATTTGAAGGCGAGTTTTTGAAAAATCCGTAACTTTCCCTGTTCGTTCGTAGTCGTGAAAAATTTGTGTAATTTACGAAAAATCCATACGACTTGACAATAAAATGAGTTGTGTGCTACATTCAGCAATGGCGATAACGGGAAGGATTTTTTTTTTTTTATTGTTTTCGTCAGTGTAGGCGGTGTGTGGCACTTGATCAGGTGGAGAAATGGCCGCCTGTTATTCAGAAAAAGGTATCGACAAATCATGAGTCCACCTGGCCAGTGCCCTTCCAGTTATTGTGAAAGTCCTTCATAATGGTTTGTGAAGAACCAGCGAGCACAAAAAGGACTTCCTGTTTATAAAAGTCAGATCTAAACCCATTTACCTGCTTTCTTTACCTGTTGTATTAAAAATGGATGCTCGGGGCCTTGCTCAGTTTTTACGCCTTAGTATTTTAACCTTGAACACTTTATTTCCATCAATGCCTTTTTCTTTTTAAATCAAACAATATCGGTTTTCTTTATATTTTCTCTAAACGTGACAAATATTCCAAAACAAATACAAATAAGTGTTTATCAAAGTCTTTGGATCAATCTCGTTTCCCCTCGCAACCTTTAATCTGGTGTTTTAGCATGCTAACAGGATGGCTAACACACACATGCTAATGTTTGGAATCGTTTGGACATTTTTTTTTACATGATTTTGGTTAAGTTCAGGCTTTACAGCTAATATTTTACCTGTTACCTTTATTGCTCCTTAAATAATGCTAACAGCATATTTTAGCATGTTAGCGTTCAGTGTTGAGTGGATGACATGCTAACAGAAATGCTAGGATATTAGCATGTTTATCCTCTCATTTGACCTTGAGCTTCATATTAAAACATGTTAGCTTGCTAACATGTTGACTAGCACTTCACGCTAATGTTTACGTTGTTTTTGACAAACTGGTTAAAAAGTTCAATCTGCACATGTCAAACGCACAAATTATTTCCTTTCCTTTATATGTCCCTCTATACTAACCGTACATTTTAGCGCCCCTTAGCATGTGTCATTGCGTAAACCAGTGATTCCTAACCCTGTTCCCTGAGGAACACCATCCTACATGTTTTAGTTGTTTTCCTGCTTTGACACACGTGATTTTGAATGAACGTGTGATTTACAGGCTTCTGCAGTACTTGATAAAGAAATTCAATCACAGAATCAGGTGCGTTGGAGCAGGGAAACGACTAAAACATGCAGGATGGTGTTCCTCAAGGACCAGAGTTGGGAACCACAGGTGTAAACTACATGCTAACGTTATAGCTAGTAGCATGTTAGCATGTTTCTCCTCACATTTAAGCCACTGAGCTTATTTGAAAAACATTTAATGTGTTTTAGCATGCTAACATCTTACCATACCACGATATGCTAACATCTTGGCTACAATAATTTATCACCGGGTTTGAGTTATATGAAGACTAAAAAAAACTCATGCTCTAGTTTAATTAATTAGGGAATTATTTGACAAGTTTTGTTACAAGTTCAGCTTTCACACCTCAGGAGCTACAGCTACTTCCTGTTAGCTTCACTGCCCCTCTAATTTAATGCCAACGGTACATCTTTAGCAGGTTAGCGTGCAGGTTTGCACTGCACGCTAACAATTGCTTGTAACTTGTATATTCAGTGTATGTGATCTGAGAGCAGATTTGATAATTTCAGTATTATTTTTATTCTGTTAAATGACCGTTTAATCGTGTGTCATGAAAAGTTTTCGAAACATCAAGAGAGCAGGCGTGTGTGCTAAATGCTAACAAGCTAGCTTTTCTCATGCTTGAATGTTATCTGCAGATTTTTATTTTTAGTTCTTTAAACTGTTAAAAAGAATTATGGTTTATTGTCTGTTTGGGTTTAATTTAGAGCAGAAACTTGTGTACAACAACGATCGCTGTATTACATGTGTTGCAGTATTTTCACTTAAATCTTGTTTTATTTTGTTGCATTCAATGTTGCCAAAGCAAACCATTGTCAGTGTGCGCTCTGTTAATATGCATTAGCACTTTGAACAGTATTTTACAAGACTGTGTATCATAAACTGTTGTACAGTTCAGTGTTTTCTTTGTGTTTTCAGAAACCAGTGCTGCAGATTGTTTTCAGCAACATGTTGATACTCACCGTTTTGTTGTTCTTGGGCTTCACTAAATAAAAAGCTGCAGGAAAGTTTGATTTTTGATTTTAATCCTTGAGGTTTTTTTTAGCTTCAGGTGGAGTCAGTGGTGTAATACTGTGTTGGCCTGCAGGGGGCAGCTTGTCTTCATCAGCTGCTTGAGTTCAACCTGCAGCAGCATCAGACCTGTTTGTCCTCCTGATGTCTCACACATTGTGACAGACAGACAGCTGGAGCTCTGAGTGGTCTGGGACCCACCTGTCTCAGGACCCGGGCCCTGGACAGAGAGGCCCCTCGAGGCCCCGGCACCTCTGGCCTGCAGTTCCTAAACCTCAGAGCCGTGTGAAAAAGGATCAACGTGTCAGCGAGTGTTTGATGAGCCGAGACTGAACTGGACACCTGCAGGTCCGACCCTGAACCCCCCCCCCCCCCCCCCCGACCCCCCCCCCCCCCCCCCCCCCCGCCCCCGCCCCGGATCATTGTGTCTGTTGGGTTTTACTTGCATTGTGAGGACACACTGAAGGCCTCTGCATCACTTCACGCTCAGGAGACTAAGCTCTGTGCAAAAGTCCTAATCCAGGCCTAAACCACCACCACAACCGTTCAGGCAGGACACCCGGCACAAAACGACTGGTTTAAGTTCAAACTGGATCTTTAGTCTGTTCTGTGGGAGCTTGTTTCTGCCACTGGGAGGAAAAAGTCAAATAGTGTCCTTTTTATGACTTTGTATGTTTAAATATGACATTAAATGTCTTAATTTAAAAGTCATATTGTGACTTCTTCAATCCCATGATCAGGACTGAGAGGTCTGGGTCTTTGGTTTGACGTCAGGAAGTGAATCCTGTGTGTGTTAGTTCTGGGTCACAGCTTCTGCTGTCATGTCACAACATTCCCATGACTCCTCACAGCCACCTGGAAACACCTGAGGAGGGGGGGCGTGTCAGTCGGAACAAACTAGAATCAACTCCTGATTCTTCATGTGGATCGATCCAAACCAGAAACTTGAACAGGAAGGAAAAATCCAAATGTTTAAATGTAAAGAAAATTTGCTCTCGTTAACGACAGGTGTGTCATCTGTTAATCAGACGTGACTTTGTTTTACCTGAAAGGTTTATTTGACTACATTTTAAAACCTGAAACCAAAATAAAACAAGACGTCTCAAACTGGATGCGTTTGTTCTGAAGGGTGCACGTGAACTGGTCCACCATCAGTAAATGGACTTTACAGAACCGCAGAGTCCAGTTCGAGTTAATAGCAGAACCAGAAACGTGGCTCACAGATAGAACGAGTCACTCGTTGCTCAGGTGTGCACCAACCTGACTCAGGAGGAAACTCAGGTTAGAGAGACTGTGAATTACGGTGGCCCTGAAGGCCAAAACACGGGTGCATTACAAATAACTAAAACTCCCTATAAGAATATAAAAGATCATTACTGAGGCTATCATTGAACTAAAGACACTGGAGCTCAGAGTCTGTTCAGGATGACTCTCAGCTACTTCCACATTAAGGTGGGTCTTGAGATATTTTGCTAACAGACAGCCATGCACACATGAAGGCAAATACACGATCGCCTGCCTTTCATGTTATAATGTGTGATAAAAGAAATGCAGCAGAGACTTGCTCCTGTTTACAGACTGGCTAGCGTTAGCTTCACAGCAGGGTCTACTGGTGCATTAGATATTTTACTAACAGACACACAGACAATTACATGATTGGCTGCCTCCATGAAAGGCGAGCAATAAAGTTATGAGAACTTATGGGAAAAGCTATAAAATGTCCAACGATGTAAATAATGTACCTTCCTTAAATATTACACAAAACAGATGCACGTGTGTGTGCATGTGTGTGCATGTGTGTGTGTGTGTGTGTGTGTGTGTGTGAAGCCCCCCCTGCAGAACCACAGTATCGTTTGGCCCCTCAGCTCGTGCTCCTCTCTCCATCTTTCCTTCTTTCTGCAGAGGAAGAATACATTTCTTGTTACCATCACCTCCTTGTTGGGCCCTAATGAGGAGGAGGGGCCCCTGAGCGTTGAGGGGGTTTAGCAGCAGTTAGCGGCGGCTCCGGGCGGCAGGACAATCATCGGACTTTAACTCAGGCTCACAAAGGCCCGCTCCACCTAATTCCTCCTTTCAGAACCTCACTCGCAGCGCCAGAGGCTAAATTATTAGATGCTAATGGCCGCCTTCCATCAAAGCCGAGCAGGAGCCAAATCTGCCAGTGAGGCCTATTAATTAACATGTGGAGCGGGCTGGGGGCCCGGGGGCCCACATACTGAGGCAGGATGGGGAGGAAAAAGGGGCACTGTGGTTCACACGGGCCTCTGCTGGGCAGCCCATTCAGATTGGAGGCAGGGGGCCTTTCAGGGGCTTCCCGGGCCCACAATTAGGGGCGCCTGAATAAGCTGGCATTTGTCCTGCAGGTCCCAAAGCTGCAGAGGACAGGTCCGGCCCGGTCCAGTCCTGGTCCGCTTTAAGAAAAACACATGGACCCAACGCGTTACTGACTCGGTTGTTTAAAATCCAACTGGTGGAGTTGTTTGTTGGCCTCGTGCAGCGTCGCCTCCTGGCGCCCAGGAACCGCCACGACAACAGGACTCCCAGGCCAGAACCAGAACCGTAATGGAACCAGGAGAACAATGGAGTCCAGGACCTGCAGCAGAATGTTTTCCTTTCAGCTGCTTCTTTTTTCAGGGGTCGCCACAGCGAACAAACTCACACTAAGACTTGGTGATTGTTTTTATGCTGGATGTCCTTCCTGACGCAAGAGTCCACCGAACTACCACAGCCCTCTGTGGAGCAGATGGTGGGGGTGAAGGGCCTTGCTCAAGGGCTCAGAGTGGAGCAAATGAGGGTGGAGGCAGGTGTGGGTGCTGCTTCACCTTTCCTTTTGATCTTGTCGGTCCAAGGAGTTGAACCAGCAACCTTCCGAGCACATGCCACCTCCTCTAACCTCTGCACCACTACTCCTGATCTGCAGCAGGAATAAAAACTAAGACTTGACAGAAACTGTTGGACAGCCGAAGCAGCTGAAGGAGGAAACTTTCGGCTGATTCTGACTGACAACAGTCAAAACCAACCGCTGAGGCAGGGACTGGTCTGACCTTTGACCTGCTGGGTCACTTCACCTCAGCGTCACACCTGAGTGTGTGTGAAACTTCTGACTCAAACTAATTTATTTATGTATTTTAAAAAGAACAAATAAAATAAAATAAAAATAGAAACGGAACAAACTGAAAATTGTTTTAGACATCAAATAAAAAAAGCCCCGTGTTTTTCTACATGTAAATGTTTTCATCATTCATCAAACAACAAACAAACAAACAAACAAACATTATTAACACATTGTCATTTTTGAAACACGAAGATTCTGTAAAGGTTTTAAAAGAAATAAGTTTAAATTGACAGAAAATGTTTTTATTAAACAATAAATAAAACATTAACCCCGTAAAACAAACAAATAAACTAAAAGACACAAATAATGAAACAAACACTGAGAGTTTAGACAAAAACAACTGAAGTAATAAAAAACAAAGTAAAAATACAAATAAAGTCAAACTAAATAAACAACTGATGTAAACATAAAATACAAAACAAACAAATATAACAGCAAAATAATAATAAACTGTGAAGATAAACCGGAAATCTTCAGAACGAGTCTCTGAAGATTTTCTTTCTTAATCATCTCACTTACCATCTTCATCACCCCCTCCTCCTCCTCCTCCTCCTCCTCCTCCCCGTCGTTCTGCGCATGCTCAGCACACCTCAGCAGGGCAGGTACCAGCCCCAGTGTCGGACTTTTCAGGTTCGGATCAGACTCCAGCATGAAGCGGGAGGAGGCGCGAGGAGGAACCGACTGATCCGAGACCAGAACCTCCAAGTTCACTGCGGAGGGTTCACGGAGGATCCGCGCGGCACCTGGACCCGTACCTGGACCGGAACAAGCTTCAGCAGGTTCAGGAGCACAGAGGAGGATTTACGCACGCGGCTGCGCTCAGGTGGACTCCCGGGGACAAGCATGGGGGGACCCGGGTTCTGAAGCTCCCCGAGTCCCGAAGAACAGGACGGACTGGACCCAAATCCCTGAGTACCGACTCCCTGCTGGTCCCAGACCCTGGTCCTGAAGATGTTCCAGAACAAGAAATGCTTCACAATCGAGGCTCTGGTCGGGAAAGACGCGTCCAGCTCGGCTTCTGGTTCTGGTTCTGGGGATGAGCCCATCCGGCCCACTGCGCTCCGGTTCCCGGACTCCATGCACCCGGCCTCGGTCTCCGGGGTCTTCGGCTCGTGCTTCCAGGGGAGCGGCGGGAGGACTTTGTTCTGTTCGGGTCCGGACATGGTGCTGCAGGAGCCCGGGACGCACGCGCAGGGTCCGGGCGGGCTCCCGCTGCACCCGCTGCAGATCCCCCACCAGAGCTTCTTCAGCCCGCAGCACCGGGACCCGCTGGGCTTCTACCCCTGGGTCCTCCGGAACCGGTTCCTGGGACACCGCTTCCAAGGTGAGGCTCGGGGTTCTGATCCAGCAGGCTCGGTTTGTTTCCACAGGGTTCTGGGTCCTGCTGGTTCTGGTTCTGTTCGTGTTTTCAATATTTAATTTTTGTGCTTGAACTCCTGATCTGTTCCCACGAACCGAATTTCTGGCCCGGGTCGGGTTCGGTTCTAAAAGGAGGTTTTGAAACATCACGTGTCGCTGCGGGCGCGCTGCAACTTTGTTATTAAAGGAAAAGTTCAGGTGAAGCTGCGCGCGCACCTGTCTTTCTGTTTGTATTTCTGTTTGCAGGTGGACTGTTTACATGTTTTTGTTTACAGAATTAGTTGTTAAAGGTTCACGTGACGAGACTCTGATTTTAAATATTTTCACTTTTTAAAATAATATATTTTTAAATTTATTTTCTCAGGTGGATTTCTTCTCAGACCTGAAAGTGTTTTAGTTCCCAGAACTTTAAATTCTGGACCAGTTTCTTTTTATTTTTAGTTTATTAGGAGTGAAGCGCGGCGGCCTGCAAGGCTCGGCTCGGCTCGGTTCTGCTTCACGTGCAAAAACAAAAGGAATGAATAAAAAAAGAACATTTAAAATAAAATGTTATATGTTCAAAATACATATAAAATCAGGTAAAAATGATAAAATTATTATTAATGTTGTTTTGTTGTTTATAAACTGCAGCTGAACAATAAACTTTAACAACATTTAAAATCATAATATAAAAAAACACCACCAGGATGTGATTAAAATGTTTAATAAATCCTAAAAACAAAAGTGAACTATTTTTAGAAACTGAGAAGAAAAAACAAAATTATGTTCTTAAATAAAAATAATCCCAGATTAAAGACAAGAACTGCAGATTAATCCTATTAAATATTCTGTTTTATCACCACAAACAACAAGTTTTTTTTTAAAAATTTAAGTTATTGTTTGTGAGAATCTGAACCATTGAACAAAATCAAAATGTTAAAATTTATCACCAATAAAACCTCAAACTGATCGAATCGATAAACAAACCAAATAAACCAGATGTTTTATAAATAAAATTAATAAATCAGATGTTTTATAAATATAAATAATAAACGAGATATTTTATATATATAAAACATCTGATATATTTATATTTATAATAATACTTATTTATTTATTTATTTATTTATTTATAATAAATCTGGTGTTTTATAAATAAAAAAAAACTCAAAAATTTATAAATATAAATAATAAATCAGATGTTTTATAAATATAAAGTTCAGAAACTTTCAGAAACTTCTTCTTCTCACAGTCCGCAGCTAAACCAGATCCTGGTTCTTAGTGTTTGTTTGTTAATTTAAACAGCTTAATATTTTTTCATCCATCTTTAAAAACTAAATGGATTTTAATCTTTAAAGATGTTTTTTTCTTCTTCTGTTTGGTTGTTTAAAATATTTTTATTTTTATTTTATTTCTCCTGCACTGTTTTATGGTCACAGCAGACCATGAAACAAACAACTGTGACGAAAAAAAAAACCAAAATAAAGAAAAAGTAAAATTTATTGTATTTCTGCCAAATTTACATTATTTTACTTTCGTTATTATTATTGCTTGATTTTAATCCTTAGTTGAAATATAAATCATTTCCTGCTTTGTTTTAATTTATTTATATCTATTTAAGCTGAAAATAAAATATGAAATCATTTCTATTTTATTCTTTTTAAGGAAACTTTAGTTTATATGTTAAATTTAAAACAATAAAATGTGACGTTGTTGTCAAAAATATATTGGTTTCAAAATAATTAAGTCAAATAAAAAGTTTTTGTTTGAACAAAAATAACAAATTTTACATTTGTTTAATCAAATATATTTTTTATGAATTGAAAAAGTATTTCTGGTTTAGTTTCTTCAACTTTATTAGTTTTAATATTTATCTTATTCCTGATTTAAATCTGCAGCAACTTTTACAATTTTTTATTCTATACATATATTTTCAGAAAATAATAAAAATCAGGAGCTTTAAAAAATAACAACAACAATAATAATTATTATTATATATATTTGTGTGTGTATATACAGTTTTTTTCTTTTTATATTCTATTATTTGTTTCAGTAATGTTTAAAAACAACAATTCTCTCTTCTTTCAGAAAAAATAAACTCTTCATCTCATTTAAATATTTCTCTTTCCTCCTCCTGACTGCTGGTTCTGCACCGGAGATCCAGACTCACCGGACCTTCAGAACCATCTGAGGAGGAAACAAGTTCTGACGCCAAAACACGGAGGGGTTCCTTTCACCGTTTCAGATTTTATACTTTCACCACCAGAACGAGAATCATCTTTTACTTCCAGGATTTTACTTTATTTCTATTTAACAAGACCTGAAACTAAATGTGAAAAACTGGTTCCAGTCTCTGACCCGACAGAACCTCCTTCAGCAGCAGAACTCTGTGGTTTTCTGTTGTCAGTCTCTCATGGTTCTGGAGTTTTGGCCCACTCTGCTTTCCGTCATTCAGCTCTCTGAAGGTCCACCACAACAATTCAGTCAGGCTGAGGTTCTGGACTCCGAATGGACCGACGCAGCACCTTGATTCTTTTTGACCCGTTCTATTGTAGATCAGCTGCTGTGTTTGGGATCTTGGTCCTGCTGGACCCAGTTTGGTCCAAACTCCAGCTGTTGGACAAATGGTCTCTCCCATGTGACTCCAGAACCCTTTGGTCTACGGAGGAGTTCATGGTCCACTCAGTGACCTCATTGGGCCCAAACCATCAGCTCTCCACCCCCATGCTAACAGCTGGGATGAGGTGTTTGCTGCAGTGCATTCTGGGTAAACACCTGTCCTTTGGTCTGGTTTTGTCCCAGAAGTCTTGTGGTTCCTTCAGATGAAGCTTTTCAAACCTAAGTTGTGCTGCATGTTGTTTTTAGAGAGAAGAGGCCATGACCTTTGACCTTTAACCGGCCAACTGAGGCCTGTAGAGTCTGAGGTGGAGCTCACTGCATGGTCTGACCTTCAGGGTGAATCTGCTGGGAGATTGGCAGCTGCTTGTGAATATTTTTTTCTCTCTGTAGAATGATGGACTCCAGATAGTTTGTAAATGACCTTTGACCCTTCCCAGATTGAAGGGCAGCAGCAGGCGCTTCTCAGCAGTTATTGCTGATGTATTTCCGTCTTGGCGTTGTGTTAACACGGTTTCATCTCTGAGAAAACCGCTTTAACGTTCTATAAATATAAATAAAATAATAATATTCTATAAATAAACCGTTAGGCGCCTCTCGATGATGGAACAAGCTCGGTTAACTCGTCGTTCTTTTTCTCTCGACTACAGTTTTTTTATTTTTTAAACGTTGGTAAACTTTAGTTTCCTGTTTGAATCCTAAACTTTGTTTTCCTGAACGAGCCGCTCCGTTCAGCAGCTGTTTAAAAGATGAAATTACTACAAGTGCTGTGGAAATAATAGTAACAGTTCATAACGGGCTGCATGACGGATGATGTTTGGATCCATCAGTCCAACACCTGGCTCAGCTGCAGCTTTTCAAAGTAAAAGTCCTCAGACAGATGAACAGGAAGTGGCTGAAAGATTAATCTCATCAGCTCTTGTTTATGAGCAGGTTATAAATCAGATTATGAGTTTTTTTATGTTCTAAAATAAATCAGATGTTTTCTAATTCTTTAAATCTTCAAAACTTTGACGTCATTTCCTGATTTTGTGTTTTAAAATAGTTTATGACTCTTCATCAAGTTATCAGGACTGAGCTGAATGATTCATCAGATTAAGATTAAAAGGTGCAGGTTTCCAGGTTGATTTCCCTCCGAACCTTCATGAAACTTTCATTTGCATCTGAATGTGACTTCAGGCCAGCTAACGTTGGACCAACGCCGCCATCTTTGTCCTCCTTGGCGCCGCCGCTGAACCCGCTCCTTTGCGTGGAGCGTGACGGCGCCGCCGCCTCTTTTCAGCAGCCGAGCGCAGATTTGTTTTTATGTAAAATGCTCCGAAGGATTTTAATAAACGGTTTAGGAAAGTGCAGCAGGAGCGTCGGCGTCGGTTTGTCGGTTTGTCGGTGCGACGCTCTCGCTCATGTTTCCAAAGCCGCTTCGCTTCATAAACAAATCCACATTTTTTGTTTCAGGCCGCGGTCGACTCCGAGGAGAAAAACCAAAAACCGACTCGGTTTAACGCCTCCGTAAAATCGCTCAAACCAAAACGTTTCTGAAAACACCGAATCATCGCCGCAGCTGTGGGTTAGCGCGTAGCTTTAGCAGCTTTTAGCTTCGGGCCGTAAAAACATTTTTACCCTAAAATAAATAAAAACAGAGTTTCTTTCATATAAGTTTTGTTTTTCTCGTCAGAAACCAAAGAAAAATAAGAATTTATGTTGATTTTTGTCCAGAAACACAAAGTTTTTAAGCTTTAAACATTTTTATTTCAGTTTCAGCCGGTTCCTTCTGGAAACTTTTAGTTTTCATAGTTATTTTTCTAAAATCTGAACTGATTTGTGTTCAATATTGTTCTGTTCACAGATAAAAGTCTGATTTTAATCGTCTGATGAAATCAAACAGCAGCTGCTCCAGATGTTTTGGCTTCTTTAACGGCCTCTGGTTTTTATTTTTTTCTGTTTTTTTAACGTCCGGCAGCGTTGAGCTGATGTTCTTCGGCTTTTCTGAGGCTCTAACTTTAACTTTTGATCTTTTAAACATTAAATATTAAATTAACCAGAAATGTGAGTCTTTGATTATAAAATTAAAAAAAACATTTTGGTAAAAAAAATAAATTAATAAATAAATCCACATGAAACAGATTTGTGCTTAAATTCAGTCGTTTTTTTTATTTTATTTTATTTTTTTAAAGATAATAATGAAGTTATTAAAGTTTGTCCAACTTTGTTTTAACATTTAATCACCAAAATGACTTTTTTCAAAATGACTTCCAAATTAAAAGTTGATTTATATTTAATAAATAAATAAATAAATAAGATTTCTGCTGATTTCTTGACGGAAAGATTTTTGTTCATCTTTTCAGTTTTTAAACGATTTTATTGTTTATAGAAACCAGAACCTCTCCAGGCTGTCCGTCTGTGGGTCGGTGGTTCTGACGGGTCTGTTCTGTTCTTGTTGTGGCTCCGCAGCAGCGGTGGTGAACGGTGCAGGTTCTGATCCAAACCTCAAACAGATGTTGGAATAATAGGACTCTGTGAGACCAGAACCACGTCCATGAACCTGGACTGAGAGAAACCAGGTGTTCTGGGTTGTTGCGTCACAACAAGATGAAATAAACTCAGGAAACCGGATTTTTTAAAACTTTTAACGTACTCCTGCTGAACTCTGTGGTTCTGGGACTGGATGTGGACCCTCTGCTGGGACCAGTTCCAACCATAAACCTGAGAAGTGTTTCAAATCAAAGTGAGAAAAATAAAACTTTATTCTGGCAGAATTTATTATTTGGTTTCGAAGCTTCCTGAGGATCCAGAATAAATCGGTGTTTAAAAAAAGTAAAGTTTAAATCGGTTCGTTTTATCGTTTGTTCGTCTCCCCTGGTTGTCCCTGTTCTGCTATAAGAGGGCCGTATCTGGCCCGCGGGCCTTCACTGGACACACGCTTGGCTCAGTTTATTTCATTTTAAATTAAAAACAACTTTTTAGTTTTTATTTAACAAACATCCAAAAGTTTAAATCTGTAAACAGAGCCTGATGAAGAAGAAGATGATGAAGGGTGTTTGAAAGTTCTGGTTCTGATCAGTCCAGTTCAACGAGCCAAAACTCCTAAAAAAAGACTCGAGTTTTCAGCTCCGTTCAGGCTCCACACCTGACTGTTGTTTTTGTTTGTTTGTTTGTTTTCCAGGAGAGGACAGCAGTCCGGAGAACCTGCTGCTCCACGGCCCGTTCTCCAGGAAACCCAAACGGATCCGCACGGCGTTCTCGCCCTCCCAGCTGCTGCGACTGGAGCGGGCCTTTGAGAAGAACCACTACGTAGTCGGAGCCGAGAGGAAGCAGCTGGCCAGCGGCTTGTGTCTGACCGAGACGCAGGTAGGCATGATGGGATACTGAGGAGGAGAGGAGGAGGTGCAGGGCATGATGGGAAACTGAGGAGGAGAGGAGGAGGTGCAGGGCATGATGGGAAACTGAGGAGGTGCAAGGTATGATGGGAAAATGAGGATGATGATGAGGAGTAGGTGCAGGGCATGATGGGAAACTGAGGAGGTGCAAGGCATGATGGGAAACTGAGGATGATGATGATGAGGAGTAGGTGCAGAGCATAATGGGAAACTGAGGAGGTGCAAGGCATGATAGGAACCTGATTAGGAGGAGGAGTAGGTGCAGGGCATGATGGGAAACTGAGGAGGAGAAGGAGG